GCGGTTGACCAATCACAACAGAGCCGGCCAGCTAACCAATCAAAGCAGACTGGGCTCTGGTTTCAGACAGAGGGTGAAAAGAGGTGCTGCAGCACAGGAAATAAAGAGCTTTTTGACAGACATATCACAGCAGAGGCACAAAATAAAAATATAAACCTGAAAGAGAGAATATTAGGGCCCCATTCATATCTAAATAAACGTATGAGCTGCTGTTGAAGCTCAGTAACAATAGATGTGAGTCAAGAGGTTTATTGTATGCATCCTAAACCTCTATCTCCCTTTTGCACATACAGTAGTGTGACTCTCACAGTGCCCTAACACCACCATAAGTGCTACGTCAATACAGAAACATCTGTCTTCTTGATAAAGAAAGCATGTCCTGCGAGCTGCCTGGACTTTGTCAGACGAATCAAGAGTCAGGATAGAGGCGAGCCTCGACCAGGCTTGGATTCCTCAGCGGTGATGGCTGCTTTCAATTCCAGCGTTTGCTAATCTGGCTGTGGGAAGCCTTTGCGCAGCAGCCCTCGTGTTTTTCCAACAACATGTCTGCCCTCCAGTCATCCAGCCAGCCAGACACACACACACTCCATCTACCTCCACTCAATCCTGATTCAGCGGCGCTGAAAAGCTGATTAGTTGGTCAGAGGGTCAACCTCCATTCATTATTTAATGGGTGAGAGGCTGCGAACAGTCCAGGTCGGTGATACATTACACAGCCCTGGCCAGAGGAGAGCTGCCCGGCCGAATACAAACACGCTCTCTCATCTACTTCACTATGGCTGAGACGCCCTCAATCCCCCCCCGCCCCTGACCTTGCCGCTCCCTCTCAAATCACCGTCCTTCTCTGGCATTCAGAATCCAGCAGGTGGGACTGCGATTCACTTTCTGTAAGCTTGCACTGCAGCAGGGCTGTAGCTAAGGCTGGCCCAGGTAACAGAAGAGGAGGAGGAGGAGGAGGAGCAGGAGGAGGAGGAGGAGGCCATAGCTATTTTATTGACGTGCAGCAAACAGCAGTGGCGGAACAAAGGCCACTCAGCACCTATTGAGAGAGCAGGTCTGCAGACAGGGGGGTTGATTAGCGATTCGACACAGGGACCCTGGACTGTGTAGCACATAATGAGAGCTTAGGGAGCGAGCCATGAGCCAATGGGAGAAGGAGGTACGGCGGGTTGAGGATAGGAGAGGTGAGAGGCGGGGTTTTACCATAAGGAATTGATTTCCCAGAATGGAAGATTGATATATGAGAAAAAGGGCTCTAAAGAAACAACAAACAAACAAGGGTACGGGCAGATCCTAAATCCTTAAGCTACAGCATTGGTAATGTGTTTATATATAAACAGTTAGAGGATAAGCCCTAAATCCACTGCCGAGCTAAATGGTTTATGCAATTTTTGTTTGTTTGTTTACTTCTGCGTCAATTAAGCAAATTGCTCCAACATCCCTGACGAGCACGAGATCTAACGTGAGAGGATTTTGCATTCATGTCAAAAAAGCTTCCATCTCCCCTGTCTTCACCTTTCATGTGGCCTCAGAGAGATGCTAACAGAGTCAGATGTGCATGATGGCCGTGTGTGTGTGTGTGTGTGTGTGTGTGTGTGTGTGTGTGTGTGTGTGCTTCTGCTTCTTCGTCTGCACGCTCTCTCCTCCCTTTGTTCCACTGGTCTAATCCAGTATGTGTGGGCCGGTAAGTTTAATGGAAACAATTTATTAAGTCCGGCTTAAAATGCCATCTGCAGCTAAGCCTCCCAAAGCCGCTAAGCTCCTGGTTTCGCCCCGGAGCTCGCTGTGTTCACGCTTACTGTAATGCTCTGTTTAAAATGAGCACAACGGGTCAAAATTAATCAGGATTACAAGGGGCACAAATCCACTTCAGAAATGGGTTTTCGACCAATCTTTTCTCCTGCTATCCCAAGATGCCCCGGGTTTGTCTGGTGGACCGCACACTTCACGGGGTTTACCGCCACACCACGGCAGGTAGGAAACCAGGCTCAGAGAGAACAATATACTCACGCTCTTAAACCCACAGATACTGTACAACATTCAACATACTGACTGCAGATTCCAAAGTGCTCTTCAGAGATATTTCCAGCCGCTGACAGCTCGGTGATAACTCCCCACCACTTCCATAGGCGCAGCATAGTGAAATGTTCTAAGAAGGCCTACCGAGTGAAGTGTTTCTCTGAGCTCTGTGGAGGTGCCCTGTGCATGCTCAGCAGCTACATTTAGCTCCTCGTTCGCCTTCAAGCAAGTGACAACAGTCAACTCTGACCTGCAATTCAATAAGAGAAGCCCAGAGTGGAGCACAAGTCTTCCCAGCGCCTTTACTTAAACATGCCATCCTCCAGGAAATCAATAATTGCAGGAGGTTTAAGACAGGAAATAAACAAAAAAAACGATAGCTGTTAGATAACGCTTGCCCTCTGCTGTGCCTTCCTCCAAACCACCAACACACACAGACATTTAGCAGAACTAGTGCAACATCCAAAGAGTACTGCAGTGTATGCTGTGTTATTACAGACACTATTAACTTGTATAATCTGCACTGTTTGCTTGCGATGTCGAGATGACGAAAAGTAAACAGGAGAGAAAGAAGGCAATGGTGTCTGGGTTTTGCCCAAAACCATGTTCTGTGTGCGTAATTACAGCGCTCTGCCTTCACTGATTACTATGTTGGTGTTTCCTCTCCTCTATTAACCCTGAACCGTTTCATTAGCATGACAGACTGCGGGCCTGTGTGCAATTTGGACTTAACCTCAACCCGCTTGTACCCGTAACTGCTCACGGAAATAAAGTTCAGGGACGGAGCACGATGCCGAAAACAAGGAAGAGTAACACTCATTACCTAGAGAAATGTACAAGCTTAACATCATTGCAGCATTATATATTTATGTGTGCCATAACGTGCGTGTGTGTGTGTGTGTGTGTGTGCATCTGTTAGAGAGTCTAGCAGCCAACAGCTCGACAGGCCTGCTGATCAGAGGAAAGCCTTTCATTGGTCCCACAGGACCGCGAGCGAGAACGGTAATGGGACACATACGCCGCATTCTAAACCAGAGGAAAACAGCCCGTGGGCTACTTTGTATCACACACACACACACACACACAGAAAAAAAAACAGTCTAGGCCAAAAACAAACACTGTCCTAGAATCCATTACAGCTACAAACAACAACATTGGAATGGGAGGCGAGAAAGCGGGCTGGTGGCATCTTTACCAAATCACTTCATCACACTGCTGATTTCTCTGCTGCCTCACCCTTTATAACCCCCTAATTCTAATCTGGTGACCATTCGTACACATCACCCCCAAACCGGATCTGGTTGATCTGTGTGACAATCAGGTGAAACTCTTGATTGGATTGTGAGGATGTAATTCCAGGGTCCTAATCCTCAGGCCTCGGCGCACATTAGCATGATCCACAGAGTGCGCCAGCAGACAGGGGAAGAGAGTTTTGGAGACGTGTAAGAGACGGAGGCTGTGTTATGTGCCTGGACTAGCTGTGCTGTGTTTACAGGCAGCCTTGTTCTGTACGGGCATGCAGGGGAAATAACCCGCTGACAGCTGACAACAGCAGTACCGGTGCAGGAGAGATGGAGTCTGACGCGGTCTAGTTGTTTTCTAAACCATGCAAGACTCAAAAGTCATTGTGAACGCGGGTTTTGCGAGGCAGACGCTGGTCACAGGTCGTCTGCATCACACAGCCGACAGGCCTGTTTCTCTGCTCTGTGTCCGCCATGCTGTTCTACTTAGCAGTCAGAGCTACTGTGCTCAACCAAGCCACACGTTCCTATGTTGCTGAGAGGGAAACTAGCTTTAAAAGGGGATGTTCTAATGAGTTGAAATGGAGGTAAACAAAGACATATTTGTGAGTACAGAGAAGCAGGAAGTAGATTTAATGCCAATACTACAAATATGTCTGGTAAAAACATTGTCATACAAACAAAACAAGATTGGTAAACAGCCTTCTTTTACAACAACAAAGAAAACAGTATTTACCACTGTCATATGTACAGTATACTCTTTATCGTTAGTTTGTCAATGATTGCTACCTTTGTCAAGACTTAACATAACCGAATACTCAACATTTTCAACATATATTCAACAAACATTGGCCATATAAAATAGTAAGCAAGAGAAAATATTTCTATTTGACATCCGAGTTGTTTATTACTATTTTGTATTAGTCCATTTGAGGCAAGATCATATTTTTCCAGTATGTCCTGCAGATGTCTCCCCCCCCCCCCCCTAACCCCCCTAACATGTCCATGGTTTACAGTGTTCTGCCTTTGCACCTCCTTCTCCCTCTGCCTGTGTTAATGGCCCTCTCCCTGCTTCCTGCCCTGGGGGGGGGACGGGGTCTGCATGCTGCTCTCTGTCACTAGTCGCTGATCACGCCTCTCCTCCCTCCCTGCATCCACAACTTGACACCTCTCTCCCTGCTCTGACCCGGCAAGCATCATTACATGTACTCAGTATACAGGTGCAGACATGCTATGCCTGCATTGTACACACAGACACATGTGTGCAGTCTGATGGCCACTTGAGATCACGCATGAACCTACAAAAGCAAAAGCCTTATAATCCACATGTGTGCATGTGTTAACACACACATGAGACTTGTGTGTTGTCTGGGGGGCTGACAAAGCTCTTTCTTTCCTTTGGCATCCATTATGGTCCAGGCCTGCTGTCAGAGAGCTTGTATTGCCTGAGGGAAGTTCCCATTTGTGGGAGCATGTGGCAGGGAGGCTCTAAATCCCCTCTAATGAACCAATATGTAGGAGGGCTAAGCCTTTGGCGGGGTCGTCCAAGAAATGCCACTCTGCGCTCAGGCAAAAATGTATGCATATGTCGTCAGCAGACCTTGTTTATGTCTGCTGACATTTAAATCTGAATGGAAGCTGCAGGATTAGACGGGGGAGATTTGGGGAGAGAAACCCAGTTGTTGTTTGAATGAGGTAAAGACTGAAAGGGGGAATGGAGAAAACAGAGCGGGGTCTTACCTTTGGGTGTGGTGGGGGAAAAGAGCTTCTCCGATCCTACATCAGACACCTGGAAAAACAAGAAGGCAGACATTTAGTGGATTTGTCCAATTTAAACTCATACTATTACGTATCAAAATCATTTCTGTCTGCCATTAAAAGCCTTATTCGGATCCAAACGTGGCCATTAGTGCATGGAGGAGAAGGCCAGCTGCCACAGATATCATCATACATTCAATCAAAATACTCCATTCAGCCAAGAAGAAGAGTTCCCTCTGTACCCGACGGTCCCTGTCTGGCTCTTTCCTGTCGAGGTAACATTAGGTGGCACTGTTGTGCCACCTGAAAACCCTCCAAAGACGAGGAAGTCAGTAAGGTGGCTATGCAGCATTAGAGCACAAAGGCTCCTGCACGCACGCTCAGAAAATCACATTTTGTTCTGAAATATATTTTGAATGGAATAACACATCTCATGAATAGAATGTGGTTCTACTCCGAAAGCAATATCCTTATTTCACAGATTCAATATCAAAGACAATATCAGCTCATTCTGGGAGTAAACAGATAACCCGTCAACAACACGAGCAGTTATTGGGTCAAAGCAGTTGTTACAGATGTGTGACTGACAGCGGATCTGATGGACCTCAGTCGAATGGACGTGAAGGCAGAAAGGCATCTCGCTGTGAGGTGATAGTGGAGACTTGTAGACTAAACACTGCGAGGTATTTTCCTCTCTGCTTCATATGAATATGATTCTGGCAAGCACCATTTCAATCAAAACACTGCATACATTTTTACACATGTTCCGAGGCCAGACGGGAAATGTTTAAACACTGAGCGAAAAGCAGTTAATCCACACAAAACCTGGTATTGTGCAAAAAAATCCATGTGTCTGGACGATAATATTAATATTAGAAATCCAGTAATATCAGCCCATATAGGGGTGTTGTTTAAAGCCAAGATTTTATTTTTCCTTTGCTTTAGATATTCTCATCCGCGCACTTGTAAAATGCTACAAGAGCCGAGCATATGTTCCACCCAAAGGGCCCGAGTGTCCTTAACTGCCATGCTTGTGTTTTACGCGGCACAAAGGGAGCATATGTAAAGAATGAACAGTGAATCAGAGTGAGTGCGAGAGCGACAGAGACAAAAAGAGAAACACAAATCATTTTGTAAACACAGATGGCTGTCCTTGGCATGCGTGTTAGTTCTTCACAAGTGTTTTGAGGACGTCCTCTTCTTTCCAAGACCTCCCAATTCCAATGTTTTTTTTGCCTGATTCCTTCAACAATTCGCTTTATTCCCACTGCAGCCGTACACAAATAAAGGTAGAAGACATAACTGTAGAGAGCAAGGCAGACGCAACCATGTATGTTTACTAAAAACATGAAGGATTCTGCAGACTATTATGGAAAGATATAAACCAGATTTTAAAACTACACTTAAAGGGGCCCTATAAAGCTTTCTTGGTTTCCCTACTGTAGGTTTTGGTGCATGTAAATGGTCTGCAAAGGCTACATTCACTGTGCTACCTCCAGAGGGAGTTTTCCTCCCACACAAAATTAACCAATCACAACAGAGCCGGCCAGCTAACCAATCAGAGGGCTCTGGTTTCAGACAGAGGGTGAAAATAGGTGCTGCAGCACAGGCAGTATGAGAAAAATAATTTGTGAACATTGAAGCATTGAGACATGTCACAGTAGAGACACAAGATACAAATATGAACCTGCAAATGTAAAAAATAGGGCCCCTTTAAATAAATATTGGTTCATATTAACACCTCACCACAGCTTCTGAAGACCTTTAAGAGTGAGCATTAACAGCTGCAACCATGTAAATACTAGTATTTATTTAAAGAATGCTCAACCAAAGTGTTTGATGTAGTTAAGTAGCCCGATGCTAATGTCAGAAGAGGTCAATAACACCTCCTTAGCTGTGTCTTGATAAGTGGAACATTAAATGGAGGGCGAAGACTTGACTGAATGGAGATGTTTCCTGTTTCCGCTTACAGTAGACGAGGCAAATGACTTTAGAGGAAATACAGAGTGTTGTGCATTGCCCCGTTTCAGTCTCCCAGAACCAGGGCGTCAGGCAGCAACACAGGCTCTTTGTTAGCTTTGGACGACATTAAACGCTCCAGTACCGAAGCCCCGGCAATGCAGCGGCACAACCTCAGCCCTGAATCATGGCCCCGGAGGCCCTGGAAGACGAATATGGGCTCAGAATGAAATGAAGCTTGTCAAATGGACACGGGAGCTGGCTCGGGGACTTGCTTAGAGTGGCACGGGGTCACGAAAGCAAGAAAAAGACAGGGTAGGTCACGCCATAACTCACTACAACGGGTAAAACAATTGTTATGACCAGAGCGGTTATCCAGAGAGCGAGGCAGACATAACGTTCCTGAGAAAGAGAACAGAAAATGCTGTTTATCATGTGCCAGGTTGTCCTTATTCCTTTTTCTGGCTATTTCCAGTGTGCAGTGAGTTGTTTTATATTCCAAACATATTCCAAGAAACATCAGCACCCGATATTTAGGTTTTAATGCTGTGTCTTGCACCTGCCAAGTCTGCATGACTCAGTCCTATAATCCACAATTACAAGGCCGGCTTACAAAAGCACTTCTTAAAAAGGCATGTCAAAGCAGAGCCCTGATTTGGCTCGCTGATGTTTTTCTGGAACCTTTTGGGTTGCGCTGGTCAAGTTGACATTTTTTCACGGGGCTGTGCTGCTGGCAGTCTGTTAGCCTGCGGTCGTGGTGCGCAGAGGTCATGTATAACAAATTCTTCACACTCTCTTTGTTGAGGCAACCCTGGCTGCCATTAAAAACAGACAAGGAAAGATGAGACAGAGGGAAAATATATATAAAGAGAAAAAAGAGAGGACCAAAGGCCAGGTTTTCCAAAGTAAACAGGGAATTTTAACCATTTCAAAAAAAAAGAATGGGGGAAATTCAAGCCACATTGCCTGGGAGCCAAAAGCCCTTGGAGCGGGCCGCAGGAAGCCTGACCTTTGAGGGGGCCGTCTGCTATCTGAGCCTGGGGCTTCAGGGGCCCGGCTTCCTCTCTGGAGGGCCGTCAGCAGGCCGACGCTTCGCCTTCCCTATTCTATTCATTAGCCATGCTTTATGATTCAGCTTCCTCTGAGCCACACAAGAGCTCCCTGAGGAAAGAGACTGCTGGAGAGAGGCAGAGAAAAGGGAGTGAGACTGAGGGAGGGGGAAAAAAGCAAGAAGGAGGTCATAGGGCCCAGCCGGGGGCCCGGCTCTCAGCAGCTGTGAAATCCTTCCGTTTCCTCGGCAGGCGTAAAAGGAATGAGGGGGAGAAGGAGAAAGAAGGAGGCCAGGGAGGGAGCCGGGCCAGTAAACCCGCCATTAGCGTGCTAACTCCCCAAAGAGCCACATGCACAACCATAATTCCTAGATTTAGGGAATGCCAAATTACAAATTACACTGCTGTTTGTTTTAAAAAGTCCCCAACTTCCCTGAACACCAATGACTTATTGGCTGCATAAATCTCCAGATAATAGCCGAGCCGCAGAGCGAGAGCAGAGGCAGAAACCCTCGCCATAAGTGAGACATTTACTGCGAGGCTAAATGCATTTGCTGTCACAGCAAAGAAGCAAAGGGGGTGGGGGGGGGGCTTTGCACATTTTCCATGTCCACATCGCTTTTAGTTAACAACACAGCAAGCTAATTAATTTTCGAAAATCGGAGACAAGCTTAATTGCACTTTTTTTAAAAAGTGTTTCGCTGTTAATTTAAGCACAATGGGCCGACTGAGGGAGGCAGGGGGGGGTGGTGGTGGGGGGGGGGGGCTAATCAACTGAATGACCTTCAGGCACACATTTATGAAAGGCATTGATCAGTTAAGGCTGTGATTTCACCGAGACAGGAAGGTCAGCTATTACCCAGATTCAATTAACCTCATTTAGTAAAGACTGCTGAGAGACCAATTTCTCCCCCCCCCCCCCCGAACCTCCTGCTTTATATCAAACGATCCCCGGGCCGTCCATCTACCTTTGATCTGATGATCTGAGCTCCCATTGCATGCCCCGCATTCCTCTGAGCTGAGCGAGTTATTTCCAAACTGGAAGAAACCGTACAGCCAGAGGTTGGGTAAAGCCAGACTAAATAAAAGCAAATTCCTAATGGTCTCCCCCCCCCCCCCCCCCCCCCCCCCCCCCCCTCCACATCTCAGTAAAGCAGGTAGAGCCATTCCTCACGGTGGAGATATCGTTTTCACACAGGCTGGCGGCGCTATCACAACAGCTGTGGCGTGAAAACAAAGAAACCTGTTAGAAGTCTTTGTTGTGGGCTCATGCCTGCAAAGACTATAATTACAATTTAGTTCTGAGCAATTTGGCACATGCTATGTTCTCGACAGACTGTTGTAGGACAAGTGGTAAAGAAGCTTATCTCAACACTTATATATACCACAAACCAAACACCAAACAACAGGCTTTTTTTAAATCATTTTTCCTCACATGGAAAGATGAGCAGCTCAATATCCAAACCAGTTTAAAGAGGCAGTATGAAAAATAATCAATCAGGGGACAATCAGCTGTAGCTTAGAGCATGTTGTGCAAGTGGGTAATCATAATAGAGCGAAGGATCAGCCACAACACACTGTGGTGCAGCTGTATAAGTGGGTTAAATGTCCTATAGTGTACGCAAAGACACTCCATGGTCTTGTTTAAAAGTACAGGGCTCCTCGGTGCTGTCGTAATGGGCAGGAACATGGCATTACATTACTTATCAGGTAGCATGACATAACAAGAGAGTGAGAAAAAGAAGGGCACATAACCTCGCATGGATGATCAGTCTAGTATTCAGATACTTTGGTGGGGTAGGTCATTTTGGAGAAACCAGCTCGAGTGCGCTAGAATTTGAAAATACACAACCGGAGAAAATCTGCCACTTCCTTACAGAGCCCCTCCTCCAACACACACGAACGCGCACATGACCAATGAGGGCACGGGATAAGTTTGTGCACAGATGGAAGGCTGACAGGCAGGTAGGCCATCCAGTTATTTTAGCCGGGCCGGCTCAGATGATTGGTCGTGCTTTTTACA